CAGGGGCCCCAGGGATGGGCGGGAGCACGGGCAGCCCCCTCGCCTGTTTGCCGTAGGTAAAGCTGTTGTGCAAGAGCCAGCGGTCAGGAACAGGCTGTACTAAGCAGCCGTGGCCGGCGCTGCCTCCAGTACGCAGAAAACTACCCCATCCACGACCACGCGGACCAGAAACGCTCTCTTTGTTAATGACGTTAATTGTGAACTTAATTAGGCGTCTGAAGTTGCAGCAAAGAGGTCAAAGACGTGGGCTCGTCGAACACAGAGAAGCTGATGAGATGGGCAGGACTGAGCCAACATCCGGATGGCGGGACCAGGGTGACGCAGACGTTGGCACACTGCTGGGGTCAGAGATCTTGCAGCCCAGCAGTTTCACTGGTACGATGGAGGAAATCAAGCTCAACCATCACTGAAACACCTCTGCTGTCAGGAGGAAAAGAGCAGGCTTTCAGAGCCCCCTTTCCCCAGCCATCCTGCCCCAGGAAGGGCTGGCCCTATGAATAGCTCAGCCTCATCACTGGGTGACCACTGCAGTGCAGAGGCCTCTGGGCTTCCAGTCTTGGACTGACAGCAGCACAGGCATCCCTGGATCCAGGCTGCTGCTCTCAGAGAGACAAAACCCTCTGGTCTGAGTCAACTGCCGGGAAGGTCATTGGCAGTGGGTGAGCACAGAAATCCTTTGTGCTGCTGCAGCACGGGGCAGAGGGGGTTGCAGTATGTCAGCTTGTCCTGACTGCCTGTGAGTCTGCTGTCCTGTGTCCTGGGTGCATCAGGGGTAAGGGGAACAGGACCAGGATGCTGCCCCAGTGATGCTACTATGCAGAGCAACATCATTTCCCTCCTGCTGACTGTGGATCCTGGAGCAGCCAGGGACCATGCACAGGTCATTCATCCCCTCACCATACCAGGGACACCTTTGCAGTTGAGTTCTCTTACTTCTCTTTGCAGCACTAAACATGTCCCCTGAAGCAGAAGATGTCCCACAATTGTCACACAGATGTTAACAGCACGTACCCTCTGGGATACAGTGTCCCTTGGGCTTTGCCCGGTCTCCAAAGAAAAGCTCTTGATGGTCAAGGACACCCTGGACAGATGGCAGCCTCAGGACTTTTGCAAAGGCAAACGTAATAGCAACCCGTGTTGTCTGTCACCAGCTTGCCTTGGGGTCCCAACTGGGTTGGCCATGCTGGCACATGTGGTTGCAGACAGCAGGGACCATGCAAGGATGAGGAGGGGGGACAGGAGGGCAGAGCAAACCCCTAATCTGGGGCAGAAAGGTATCACCCCTTCAAGAGGGCACTAGGCACCGCAGAATGGGCAGCTGGTGGTGTCACCAGGATGGGCCTATGGCCACCAGGCAGGCTGGTGGCTGCTGTTGGAGCTGTGCTGTGGAGCACCTGCATTTCCATGGAAACCTCTCCCCATAGTTTGATGTTGGTCACTAAACAGGGGCAACTGGTGGTTGCAATGGAGGGCCTTGGTATTGCAGTCCTGGGGCTGCTGGGTGGGTCGGACCAGAGGGGTCAGTGGTTGGGGCAACTCTGAATGGAGCTGCAGGTCACGGTTCAGGGTGGTTCATGGGTGGGCAGTTTCCTTAGCCCAGAGAGCAGGGGCAACTCTGCCTGTTGGCATGGAAAAGCCTAGAGGAAGGCATCCCCATGCCCTGGGCAAGAGCCCCATCAGCCCATCGGAGTCCCGTTGTAGATTGGCTCTATTGCAGCCTGTCCCAGGCATTCCACAGCATCCCTGCCCTGACAGCACAGCACAGCTCAGCACAGCTCAGCATGGCACGCTGCCCGCCTATGGCACCTTTCCCATACTCTTCATCTGCCCCATGGCAAGGGACCTGCCTCCATCCCAGACTAATGCCCCCAGGCCATGACCATGCTGCTGCACCTCCAGCACACAGGGCACAGGGTGGCAGGGGGTGCAGGACCTCCACAATGGGCAGCACCAGTGGTCATAGGGGGGTCCAGCACAGGGTCTGGAGCACGGTGCTGAACAGGGTGATGTGCCAGTGGCACAGCAGTGGCAAGGGTACCCTGGGAGAGCAGAGCAGAGCCCCCCACCCAGCTCCCCGCACAGCCTGTCCCCCTGCCTGCCCCCGGCTCCCCTGGCTCGGGGCCTCGGCCCTGGCTCCACTGTCTGCACGCTGCCTGGAGGCGATTCGGCCCCCCCTCCCCGTGCCTGGTTTCCATGGCAACTCCAGTTGAAATTACATTAAAAAGAAATGAAACCAGCAGCTTTTCTGTTTGGCAAGTAGGGGGAGGGGAGCTCCACAGCAAGACTGGGGAGGGGGTGCGAAGGTTGGAGGGAGGGGGCTGTGGCACAGATGAGATCCCACATGGGGTCCCTGTGCTGGTGGTGGGGGTAGCAGGGCGGGGATATGGGGGGACACTCCCCCCTCTGTGGCACTTGGTGTTGGCAATTCTGGATTGTATGGTGCTGATTTTATGTGTGCTGCACTGGGGGTCCAGCACCCCAACACAGTTAGGTGATACTGGGATCTTCCTGCTGCCTCTGTGGGGTGGGTGCCAGGGACATGGAGACCATCCAGACCCTCTGCCAGCAGGCACAGCCATGGCTGGGATGGCTCTAAGCCAGCACAGGGTACCCCACCCAGCCTGGGAGTCCCTGGCCCTTGCACACTCCAAGAAGAGGCAAGACACACCGCTATTAAAAATATCACTTCTGTTTTATTTGGAATTTGTTACTCTGCGCGGGTGACAGGGTATAAATACATTCTCCAACGAGCATCCTCACCCTCAGCCCTGTGCGGGGCGGGGGCCGGGGCAGGGTGCAGGGCTGTGGATGTGCTGGCCCCAGGCAGCAGGGCCAGCAGGGCCATCGATGGGCTGGCCCCAGGCAGCAGGGCCAGCAGGGCCATCGATGGGCTGGCCCCAGGCAGCAGGGCCAGCAGGGCCAGCCGGCACCGGTGCGTCACGGCCGCCAGCATGGGCAGCGTCTGCCAGCCGGACCGTCTTGCACAGGGACGAGAATGGTGTCCCCACAAGGACCTGTCCCTTTCTCCTGCCTCCCCAGGTGCCAGTGCTCATCATGGGGGGCTGAGACTGGGGTGCCCCATGTGGGATCCCATGTTGCTTCTTCTCCATGCCCGACTGCACCAAAGCCACTTGCCTTGAGCCACATGTGGTTCAGTGGCCACACCAGCCCAGCAGGTGCCCCAGCCCTGGCACAGGTGCTCCCAGCACCATGCAGGCTGCATCACCCCCAAAGTCCCTGCCCAGGCATCTATCCCAGCTGCACGTCCCGGATGCCAGAGCTGGGGTCACCCCATGGTGGGGTAAAGGCCCCAGTGGAAGTAACGTGGGAGGCAGAGTGGATGTTGGAAAGCAGCTCACTCTGCTCCTGTCACCCCACCCCTGACACAGGCTGCAAACCACTGCTTTTGGGCAGCAGCACGGGCAAGGAGGGCACAGCACGGCCCTGGGGCAGTGGTGAAGGGATGTGGGATGCTCCTGGGGGAGCAGGGCAGGCCTGGGGCGGTGCTCCTGGGTTCATGGGGGTGAACAGACGTTGCTCAGAGCAGGTGATGCCCACGTGGGGCGGTGGGTGGCACTTGGCCAGTGGTGGCAGTGGAGGGACCGGGGCGGAGGTGCTCGCAGGCAGGCCGTTGGATAGGCTATTTGGCTGAGATAGGTGGGCACGGGTGACAGAGGAGGGAAAATATCAAAAAATACAAAAGAGCGCGGCCCCGCAGCGCAGGAGGCACTGCCCTGCCTGGTGCCCACCCACGGCAGGCAGGTGCCATGGGGGGCCGGCACCGTGCGCACACGCTGGCTTCTAACTGGCTTTTTATTTTATATCAAGAACACTTGGTTTTAAAATCTTTACAAAGGACAAAACGCGGCGACTCCGTTAGTGTGTAAAGAACTAAAGATCTGCTTTAAAAAACGTCTCTGCAAAGAGAAATGACTGACACAAAAGAGATTCTCTGCAGCGCAAAGAGGGGCAGAGGTGCCAAGTCTCCAGCCCAGGGCCCCACTCCCAGGGTCCCTGAGCCCCGGCACCGGCCCCAGCGCCTGCACCCAGCACATGGCCAGGTCCCCATTCCCTCTGCCTATAGCACCATGGCCCAGGGCCACTTCTCAGCACAGTGAAGGAGCCTTTTCCAGGGTTGCCAAGCTGCCTGGGGATGCCTGGGCACTGGCCGAGAGGGATGCCCAGTCCCGCTCCTCGTCAGTCCCAGGGTGCTCAGTGGGCTTAGCGCTGGGGATGTGATCGCCCCACTGGGAGGCACAGCCACAGCACGGGGAGCCCCATGGCCATTGACAGTGGGGTACCCCTGCCTGCCTGCACGGGTGCAGGGTTACACTGCGTCTCCCCCGCACCCCACTGGCGTCCCGGGGCAACCCGCGGGACCCTGAGGCCGGGAGAGTCAAAGCACTTCTCAAAAGTTAGATAGGAACGAAAGAAAGCGCCGGGGCCACACCGGGACCCCACAGGTCTCTGGGCTGGGAGCTGCCCCGTCCGTGGGTGCTGCCCCTCCGTCCGGGGGCTCTGCCGGCCCCGCCGCTCCCTCTGCCAGTGTCTGCTGCGTGTGTGTGCGTGCGTGCATGCGTGTGCGCCGGCGGCGGGCAGCTATACCCTGGTGGTGGAGTGTGAGTGCGGGAGCCCCGTGCTGTTGAAGCCGGCG